TAAGATTTCGAGATCTTTAGTTACCTGTCCAAGGACACACAGCAGGTAAATGGCAGAACTAGGGCAAAAACCTAGATCTGTCTTATATCATAGCTATTCTTAAACACTTACTATATAGAAAACATTGTGTATTTAGATTGCAAGCTACTGTATCTTTATCATGGTATTAACTAAAGTGTGTTAAAATTAACTTTCAATACTCTCTAATAGACCTCTTTGGGTACATGTGTCCATTTGACACTGGCAGCCTTACATTGGGAACTGCTTCGAGAATCAAATGAGTAGGCTCCCCCAAAGCAATATTTGTACTACTGACCTTACCCCTCATTGTAGCTGATGAGACCAGTGGTAGACAGCTGACTCAAGTTTAGAAAATTATTCTGTCTCCTTAGAATTTAAAAATGTCACTAACAAAACATCTGGTTAATCTTAGCTTCTTTTCTGAATAGAAGTAATATAAATTAGAGTTTTATGGGGTATGGGGTTTTATGCTTGTCTTGTGGATGGAAACTTAGAGAGAAAGTCAACCCGAAGAGACAGAGGTGAAGGAAATGGGTTTAGAAACAAAGCAATTTCTTAACAATTGTTTTGAGAATTGTTAAGGGACTGCAACAAATCCCTTCTTGTGATACAGCCACACTCTTGCCCTGAGTCCCATGAGGCATTCTCATGTACTCTATTTTTTTAAAGTATTTCTTGTGGGTACCTAGTAGGTATATATATATATTTATGGGGTACATGAGATGCTTTGATATAAGCATGCAATGCATATTAATAACAACATGTAAAATGAGGTATCCATCCTGTCAAGCATTTATCCTTTGTATTAAAATGATCCAATTTTACTCTTTCAGTTATTTTTAAATGTACAATTAGACTATTATTGACTATAGTCGCCCTGTATTCTTATGCACTTTTAATACAATTGTTTTCTGTTTAAGCTAGCTCAAATTGATTTCTGTTACCTGTAATAAACAATCTTAACTATTAGGGCATTAATCTCTCCCAGTAGATGGTAAATTCCGTGAGGTTGGGGAATGTGTATTATTCATCTTTCATATATTCCCAATCTCTAGTACAGAGTTTGGCAAAGAGACGTGCTTAATGAATATTGCTTGAACAGAAATATGATTATCATCAAGACAATAACTATAAATAATTGATTTGCAATTTATACTTTATTAAAGGTTACAATACCTTTTTAACTACCTAGAAAATTTCTTTCCATTTAGCTTCTTGATAAACAATTTTTATTTTCATGTTTTATAATCGAACTGTTCCATTCAGGCTATATGTGAAAAACACATCCTTGGAAATTGATTATTCAAATTTAGCTGTTGATATTGTTTTTTCCTCCAGTTCAATGTATAGTCAAATGTAATTATTGAGGGATGCCCTAATCACTGAGGTTGATACTTAAGTAGGACTATCAAACTCTTCTAAGAAATGTTCATTAGAAAGTAAAGAGATAACCCACAGATTGGAAGAAAATATTTGCAAACTACCCATCTGACAAAGGATTAATACCAGAAAATATAAGAAGCTCGGCCGGGCGCGGTGACTCACGCCTGTAATCCCAGCACTTTGGGAGGACGAGGCGGGTGGATCACGAGGTCAAGAGATCGAGGCCATCCTGGTCAACAGGGTGAAACCCCGTCTCTACTAAAAAAAAAAAAAAATACAAAAAAATCAGCTGGGCATGGTGGCGCGTGCCTGTAATCCCAGCGACTCAGGAGGCTGAGGCAGGGGAATTGCCTGAACCCAGGAGGCGGAGGTTGCGGTGAGCCGAGATCGCCGCCATTGCACTCCAGCCTGGGTAACAAGAGCGAAACTCCGTCTCAAAAAAAAAAAAAAAAAAAAAAAAAAAAAAAAAAAAAAAAAGAAGCTCAAACAATTCAATAGGAAAAAATCAAATAATCTGATTTTAAAATGGGCAAAAAAATAGACATTTCTCAAAAGAAGAAACATGAATGGCCAACGGGTATATGACAAAATGCTCAACATCATTAACCATCAGAGAAATGCAAATCAAAACTACAATGAGATATCACCTCACCCCAGTTACCATGGCTTTTACCGAAAAGGCAGGCAATAACAAATGCTGGCTAGGATGTGGAGAAATGGGAACCCTTATATACTGTTGGTGGGAATATAATTTAGTATAGTCACCATGAAGAACAGTATGGAGGTACCCTAAAAAATGAAAAATAAAAAAAAAACTAAAAATAGAACTACCATATGCTCTAGCAATCCCACTACTAAGTATATACAAAAAAGAAAGGAAATATATCATCGTACTATTTACAATAGCCAAGACATGGAAGCAACCTAAATGTCCATCAACAGATGAATGGATAAAGAAAATATAGTACATGTATATAACATACTGTTATCCAGCCATTAAAAGAATGAAATCTTGTCATTTGCAACAACATGAATGGAATTGGAGGATACTATGTCAAGTGAAATAAGTCAGGCACAGAAAGACAAAGTTCACATGTTCTTATTGATTTGTGGGAGCTAAAAATCAAAACAATTGAACTTATGAAGATAGAGAGTAGACGGATGGTGCCCAGAGGCTGAAAAGGGTAGAGGGAAGTTGGGGGAAAGGTAAGGATGGTTAATAAGTGCACAAATATAGCTAGGGAGAATGAATAAGATCTAGTGTTTGATAGCACAACAGGGTGACCGTAGTCAATGTTAACTTATATATTTAAAAATAACTGAAATAGTGGAATTGGAATGTTCTTAACAAGGAAATGATAAATGCTTGAGGTGATGGATGCCCCGATTATACATTGTATGCCTGTATCAAAACATCACAGGTACCCGTAAATATGTATACCTACTATGTACCCATAATTAAAGATAAAATAATTAAATGCCCATTAGATCACCTGTCAGGGATAGAGTTATATGTTAGATGAGCAGAGGTCTGACACACTGTAACACTTCTATCCTTAGAAGAATCACACAAGATCAGACAAGATCCACAAAAAATATATTTTACCCTTATAGCAATGCATAGTTTTCATTTATTTAGTGCCTGCTGTGCTCTAGGTCCCCTTGCTAAGTACTGAAGCCACAAAAGTGAATAAATCAGACCCTTTCTTCAAGTAGCTTCCAGTCTAGCACTTATTAACAACCACTGTTAGGATATAAAATACACAACTCTAGTATAAACCTATGATGAGTAGCAATGTTGTTAGTAAGGTGAAATGGGAATGGAAAAGAGGTAGAATAAAGCATGATGGATGATATAAAAGTATTACCTAGGTATTGACTGTTCCCAGGTCCCAAAATGAAGCTAACTTGAGTGAATCTACATTTTTCTTAATAGACAATTCGGCATCAACAGATGATAAAGGGTTTACTTAGGACAAATTTGAGAGAACAGAAACATAATGCATTAGCGTCCTTCTACCTCTGTGAAAACCTCCAGATCCCCTTCTGTCACCCGATGGTTTTCCTTTCCAGCACTTTAGGGCTTCAAGTTGAAGTGTTTTAGTTCTGAAATTAAGGGTTATTTCTTGCACTGTTCGATTCTAATTTTTATATACTAGTTCCATCCCTTTTTTTTTTTTTTTTTTCTTGAGATGGAGTCTCACTTTGTCACCCAGGCTGGAGTGCAATGGCACGATCTCAGCTCATGGCAACCTCGGCTTCCCAGGTTCAAGCCATTCTTCTGCCTCAGATCCATCTCATTGTTGAGTCATTGCCTTGCGGTGAAATGTGCAGACCCTTCCACAAGGTGTTATAAACTTCATGAGTTATAAAATGTCAGAGACATAAATTCAATTAAGGGCAACCAAACAGTTAAGGAAATGAGAAAAAAAATCTGAAAGACTTGGCCAATTAATGAAATACATCCTTATAGATATGATTTTTGAAATGTAAGTAGAAAACCAAAGTCATATTCTCCTAGGATGAACAGAATAGTAAGCATCTTTGAAATTACTTCTCAGAATTTTCTCAGTTGGACAATTCACCTAAATTAACAATTTCCCCCATCTTCACTTTTATCTAACATTCACAGCAGTGAGGCTCAAATGTTCCTAAGCTGATCTATGATATCATGCCCATTGCCTCATCAATAATCTAAAATTCAGAAAGTATGGGAAGACAGAAACAAAATGAAACGTCACTTACATTAATTGAGGCACAGGGATGGGATGGGATGGAGTCTGAGGTAGTGAAAAATATACATAAAAATATTCTAAGTAGTTTTACTTTTTCAAATATAACATATGTAAACTCAAATTAATGAAATAGATGCCCTGATAAGCATGCTTTCGTGAATGGATGAAATCAATAGGAAATAAATAGCAACATTTTCATACAAATGCCAAGTTCATTCATTGGAAATAACTTGTTTCCTCAAATTAATGTGCTTTTGGAAAAGCCATTTACACTCTTACCTTAACTCAAACCACCTCTTCATGAATCTATGGAAATGCTGTCATCAATTAAAATTTGTGGAATTCACACTGGTAAAATCTTAGCATAGGTGATAAATAAGAACCCAAATTATATACTCCTCATTGAAAATATTAGTATAAGTCAAAGTAAGACATACAGAACTGAACAGGGAAGAGTTGTTCAAGTTCACATATTGCATACATATATGATCCAAGGGAGAAAGCAATGGACATTTGGAAAAAAAATCCATTGCATTTAGCTAGATTGTTTCTGAATTGTTGTTTTAACACTTCCTCATATGTAAAATAGAGATAATAGTAGAATTTGTTTCACAGAGTGGTGTAAGGATGAAATGGGATAAAGATATGAAAAGTATATTTGGAAATTTTGAAATGCTGATCCAATAATAACAGTGAACATTCATATTGTTCCTACATGTTAAAAACACTGTTCTATTCTAATTTTTATATACTAGCTCCATCCTTTTTTTTTTTTTTTGAGACGGAGTCTCACTTTGTCACCCAGGCTGGAGTGCAATGGCAGGATCTCAGCTCACGGTAACCTTGGCCTACCAGGTTCAAGCCATTCTTCTACCTCAGCTCCATCCCATTGTTGAGTCATTGCCTTGTGGCGAAATGTGGAGACCCTTCTACGAGGTGTTAGAGAAGGGCCCAGGACAGGCCGAGTTGTGAAAACAATTTATAAATGTTACTTTCAGTAGTATCCCTCTCCAAAGGGGCAAAACCCAATGAACACAATGAAGGCAAAAGCAAAAGAACACCAATGCCCCCTTACTAAGGAATAACAGTGAAAATATAGGTATACAGAAGAGAATGAACATTTTTTTAATTTGAAGGTACTATTTATGTTTGATGACGTGGATAAAGTGTGATTATAAAGCCAAGCATAAACAGGTGGAGGAAGAGACCAAAGCCAATTGCTAAACAGCATCTGAAAGTTATGACAATACCTAAAATATATGGAGTTAATGATTAGAGCCATGTAAAGCATGGTAGATATGTAGAAAGTCATAAAGCCAAATCCAACCCAACCTGATTTCAATCTCTCCTCCCAGGTTGAATAACTGTTTTCTTATCCTGCCTGGAATCCTGTCTTATCCTTCTCCCTAGCTCCCCCTTCACCTCCTCTTCACCACCAACATTTACACATGAAATGTTCAAGAAGAAAACAAACAAGCTGCCACTGTATTCTCTGACAGTTTCCTTGAGCAGCCTTGTGTGTTGTTTGTCAGAGAAGCAGGGTTTCATTTTTGGGGGTAGGTGCCAGAGATGGGGTGAAGTAAAAATAATATGTGATCAAATATTTGAAAACACTTGCCTTGAGTAGACCCAGCTTGAGCCTCCATGTCACAGCAAACAGGAGAGAATTTGAAACCTGCAACAGTAAACATTTTACTATTTAAGCCTTCTCCAAGTTATCTGCAATTCCTCAAACTTCAACCCTTACCCTTCATCTAGTGGTTACTTAAAAAACAGCTTAATTGCAATATAATTCACATACATGATATTCGTCCTTTTAACACATACAATTCAGTGTTTTTTAGTATTTTCACGGTTATACAATCATCATCTATCTTATTCTGGAATATTTTCATCACCCCAAAAGATACCTCATACTAAGGGACTTGCAGAGGTAGAAGAATAGTAGAGCCACGCACACATATGTTCATAGTGGCACTTTTTACAATAGCAAATACCTGGAACCAGCCCAAATGCCCATTGACAATGGACTGGACAAGCAAAATGTGGCACATATACACCATGGAATACTATGCAGCCATAAAAAACGATGAGTTCATGTCCTTTGTAGGGACATGGATGAATCTGGAAAGCATCATTTTCAGCAAACTGACACAAGAACAGAAAATCAAACAATGCATGTTCTCACTCATAGGCTGGTGTTGAACAATGAGAACATATGGACACAGGGAGGGGAGCATCACACACTGGGGTCTGTTGACAGGGGCAAGGAAGGGACAGCGGGGGGTGGTGGGGAGGTTGGGGAGGGATAACGGGGAGAAATGCGAGATGTAGGTGATGTGGGGATGGAGGCAGCAAACCATATTGCCATGTGTGTACCGATGCAACAATCCTGCATGTTCTGCACATATACCCCAGAACCTAAAGTACAATTAAAAAAAAAAAAAGCATAGGCAACAAAAGCAAAAATGGACAAATGGGATTACATCAAACTAAAAGGCTTTTGTACAGCAAAAAACAATAACATAGTGAAGAGACAACATATAAAATGAGAGAACATATTTGGAAACAATACATCTGATAAGGGCTTAATATCCAAAATGTATAAGAAACTCAAATGACTCATAACAAAAATGAGTAACATAATTTTACATATATACATAGTTTTAGACCTTGTTGTGTTCCTATAAAGGAATAGCTGAGGCTGGATAATTTATAGGAAAGACCTTTATTTGGTTCATGGTTCTGCAGACTGTACAAGAAGCATCTGCTTCTGCTGAGAGTTTCAGGGAACCTCCAATCATGGCAGAAGGCAAAGGGGATACAGGCATGTCACGTGGCAAGAGAGGGTGCAAGAGATGAGGTGAGGTGTCATGCTTTTTTAAACACCAGTTCTCATGTGAACTAATGGAGCAAGAAGTCACTCATTACCTGAAATGGCATCAAGCTGTTCATGAAGGATTCACCCTCATGACCCAAACACCTCCCACTGGGCCTCACCTCCAACATTGGGAGTCTAATTTCAACATGAGATTTGGAGAAGACAAATATCCAAACCAGGTATCTGTTTATCTATCTTTCTATCTATTTATGTAGAAATAATATTCCATTATATTTTTATAAATTGTATGTTATCAGTCATTCCACAGTTGTTTGGGGAGAGGTTCCAGTACTTCCCATGGATACCAAAATCTATGGATGCTCAAGTACCTGATATGAAATAGTGTACCATTTGCATAAAATCTATGTGCATCCTCCCATATACTTTAAATCATCTTTAGATTACTGAAAATATCTATCATTATGTATATAGTTATTATACTGTATTTTTAGGGAATAATGGCAAGAAAAAAGTCTGTACATCTTCAATACAGATGCAGCTTTTTTGGTTCATTTGTTGAGTTTTTGGTATTTTTAATATGTGATTGCTTGAATCCATGGATGCAGAATCCACAGCTACAAAGGCCCAATTGTATATATTTATTTGTATATAATGTAGATAGATACATAGATAAAATTAAATATTATTCAGCCTTTAAGAAGGAAATCTCATTCTTTGTGACAAAAGGAATGAACCTGGAGAATATTTTTAAGTAAAATAAGCCAGGCACAAAAAGATAAATACTGCATTATCTCTGTTATACAAGGAATTTAAAACAGTTAAACTCATGAAAGTAGAAAGTAGAATGGTGGTTGCCAGAGGCTATAGGAGGAGGGAATGTAGAGATGTTGATCAAAAATTACAGAGTTTTTGTCATGCAGAATCAGTAATTTCTGGAGACCTAAGATACAGCATGGTTGACTATAGTTAATAATACTGTATCATATATTTAAAATTGCCTAGCACCAATCTTAAGTGTTCTTACCACACACACACAAATGGTAAACTATGTGTAGTGACAAATATGTTAATAAATTTGATTGTAGTAATCATTTCACACACACACAAAAAGAATAGTAGAGCCCAGTGGGGAAACTTCTTTCTTTCATTTTAATGTTTCAACCTAGTGAATATGTCCAGAGTGAGACGAGGGAAAACAAGATGTCTTGGCAGTATAAGAGATCACCTACCACCCCGTTTCATATAATTTTGGTCATTGTCTTTCCCAATTGACAGATGAAACCCAGAAAACTGCTGTGACCAAAGGTCTCCGAACTTGTATCCTAATGCTTTTCACTTACATGAACATGCTACATATATCAAGTATGTTCCCTTCTCATTTCCACACGTTACTTCCTATATGCTTGGCCAAAGTCAACAATGCATACATGAACACATACATATATGAAAATAATTTAAAAAATTAAGATCCCAGGGATACTTGGTGATATTATAAAGTGTTATGGTCTATTATTTAGGAAGTGATATTCTAACTAGTAGGTAACCTCTCATTCCTGATTATATGGCCAGCGTCACCTTTGGGTTAAAGGAGGCAGTAGAAGACAAAATAGAAAAACAAACAAACAAAAAAACTGCAGGCACAGGACAGCTGGTGATCTCTCTGCCACCTGAAAAATTACTAATTACCACTGTTAACAGACTAAGCGTTGTGGTCATGGTGATGGGGACCTACAAAATTTACATAAACAGAACGATGGAGACACTAGATTAATGTGCTTAATAAGCATTCATGTGCTTTTTATGGAAAGATTTTGTTCTCTGGTAGGAGCAGAAGAACAGAAATAAAATAAATTAAACCCTTTCCAACAAATCAAAAAGACAAAACTTTTCCTTTTATAAAACTTGCAAAAAAATCGTATATGATTACAACATAATGATACTGCTGCTAGTCGTTATTGTCAAGCAAATGGATGATGTTAATTCACCTTCTGTTTTTTTAAAATTATTTCAGTCCAACCTGATAAATTTAAATTTGTACATTCAACAGGTTAGTCTGAATCCAAATAGTAAGCACATATAGAATATGCTTATTGTACAATTGTTCATCTCACTGTTCATATATTGATATAAAGCCCAAATACATAACATTTATATATTTTATAATAAATCCCACTAATATTGCGGTGGAAAATAAAGATGAATATAAAAGGTGAGTAATAAACAAAACATGCACATTACTGATTACTTGGGATTATTTCCCTTGGGAGCTGGCCAAAAATGAAAAGTATTTTGTCTGTTATTATAAATAAATATCTATTTGCCAGATACTTAGGTACGTGCCTTGTCCCTGAGTCCCTGCTAAGTTGTATTTCCCTTCTGCTTATTGAATGAAAGAAGGGCAGATATAGGGAAGGAGAACAAAGCAAAGGCTAAAAACTGCATTCTTTCTGTGTTTTACTTAAACAATGCCAGTAGTTTATTACCATTTTCCCCATCAGACTTCCTTTCATGGTCAGTGTCAGTCAAGGACAATGCAGAGTTGGCCCGGCTGGACAAACAGGAGCTATGCTCTGATTTCATTCCCCGTATCCACATTCTTAGTGCATGGTCAGGTGAGGCAGCACCTTCTGTCTCTGTGTCCACATCAGATCCCATCTCTAGCTGGTAGCCATGCCGGGAAACGCTGTGCATGTCTGTTTGGTAGCCAGAGCACAGAGTGTGAGAGGTTTCGCAGAATTCCATCTCTGAGAAGAAACAAAGTTCAGAGAAAATGTTTAGAAGTATGAAGTAATCTCCCAGAAAATTCTCCTTTTTGTCCTCATTTCCCCCTCCCCCATTGGTAGTAATTATGTGTTTTTGCAAAGTTAGAATTCTGGCCTTTTATTTATGGCAGCTAGGACTCTGTGCTTATTTTGCACTTCTGTAGCTTAAAATTATGCTCCTGTTGATTCTTACAAGGTTCTGGAAAAAGGGGGCCCAAAATAGCTTTATAGCTACAATTTTAGGTTTCACAAAATGTAATGAAATAAGTGAGTGCAGAGGAGTATAAAGTGTAGAGAGCTGTCCTTTAAAAGATGTTTCTTTTCTAGGAAGAATACATATGATGTACAGAGCATACCTATGCTTAAAATATTAAAATTATTTGCTTTTCTAAGTATTCCACACACACTGGATTTAAGAATAAATAATTTAATGTGAAAACTGAGAAAAAAGAATTAAGTTCGAATGCACTTTGCTGAAGTATTTTTCCTAAAACATGTTAATTTAAACTCTAAATCATCAGTATCTAATATCATTATTTCCCATTGATTTTAAGAGTTCAAGGCTGACTTAATGCTAATTATTCTGTTTAATTCATTTTTTTCAACAAATAGCTAAAAAATTTTAGTCATATATTGTAGCTTGGCAGTGGTTCATAGATTGGATTTCCTCTCCTTTCCCCCTGGATCTTAGAACTATAAAAATTTCAGAACCTTGAAGATGATGCAATGAATTCCTTCTTTTTATAGTTGAGAAAAATAAACTCCAGAGGATAGATGTTATTTGTCCATATCTCACATCAGATAGCAACAGAGCCCTTTTTCCTAAAACACCCATCTAGGCATGGTTTCTGCTGGACACCAACGATGCCCCATCAGCTTACTGCATGAATATCAGGCATTCAGTCTTACAGTCAATTTTACATTCAATTATAGCAAGGTGTCAAAAAGGGGAAAAGATGCTTTAACAATTCCTAATAAGTTAATGAAAAATGACCACATGCCAAGACATATCATCTGAAATGTCCATGTAATACTTAGATAAGGTAATCCGGAGATGTAGTACACTATATAGGATTTTCTCAGACTGACATCAGAGACAGGGTATGTCATTTGGCTGGGATGGAGCTTAACTGAGTGCATCTAATCCTTAGCACATATCAATAAAATGCAAACTCTAACATGAATTTAATTCTTTGAATACAGAAAGTACTGGATTTTAGACCATACACTAGAGGAAAGCAAGCATAATATGAATACATTTTAAAAATAGCTATTTTTGTGGCATGTAATTACCAAATAAGAGTTTAACAAACCAATTCTTTCTGTTTATTTAATATCACTACATGCCTAGCACTGCACTTTTGAAACATATAGTAGGCAAATAAAGCTACTATAATGTATTAGAAAAATTCAATTAAAAATTAACTCTTTCAGGGTTATAAGTCACTGCTGAGTATGTTACTTTTTGATTTCCATGATGAATGTCTTTAAGGGTAATTCCCTTTTTCTACAAAAACTTGGCTAAATTCCAAAGGAGTGGTATTCAAAAAAATAGTCCTGGTTTCCACTTGTCAAACAGAAAATTTTATGAAACCATGCTTCTTCTTGCCATAAGGCTAAAAGTAAAAATCCATTTTGCCCAATATAAATTTTAGCAATCTAGAATATTGGGATCAGTTAATATTCATGCCTCTTAATTTCACAATGTTTCATTATCCAATCCTACTGTGCAGTTGTTGCTACAGCAACCTGGTAATAAACCTTTCAGCTTGAAGCTGTAAGAAATAAATTTTACATAGGTCTGTATTCACAACTTACTTCACTCCCCTAGACCAGTGGCTCTCAAACTTGTCTGCTTCAGAATCACCTAAAAGCCTTGTTAAAACATAGATTGCTGCACCCCCACTCCCATTCGTGCCTTCCAATTTAAGTTTCTGATTCAGCAGGTGTGGAGTAGGGCCAGAGAATTTGCATTTCGCATGACTTCCCTGTTGAGACCCATGCTGCTGGTCCAGGAATCATACTTTGAAAATGACTGCCCTAGAGATTTCTTTGAAGTGAATGGGAGCCAGGGAATGGGTAGTAGCGAGGGTGCAAGCTCATCATGGCATCACCACAGATTTTGCTGCACCATCTCTAATTCTGTTTAAAGACACAAGAAAGGAAGCTTTTGCTCTGAATTGCTGTGAAATATCTCCATTTATTTTCCATGGATTCAGGGCACTAATTAGAAAATTTACTTCCAAAAGCACAGACTTGCATTTAGTTTCACTCGTACAATGGCACATGAGATGTGGCTTTCCAAAGATTTTAATATGAGCATCTGAGTCATGGCATTTGTTGGAAAAGGATGAGCATATAAAAATAAATACAGGTCCAATTTGTCATTCCAGATTAATAAAACACTAGATAAAGTTTTTTTAAAAGCACTGACAGGTGTAAGCAGATTTCCTTTTTATTAAAGAGATTTTTTTCCCATTCAAAAGGATATCAGAACACAGATTTGTTCCTTTCTAAGAAAATGCTATGTAATCTGATAAAAAATTGCATAGGATAAACAATTTATTTTCTATTGGAACTATATCTTGCTTTGACTACAAAGATTAACTCGTAAATTCTCTAATTAAATACAGTCAGATAAAAGTATACTTTCTTGTCAATCTATAATTAGAAAAATAACAATCCAAGTTAGCTATCAGTTGCTCTTTAAGTGGTAAAGCAAAAAAAAAAAAAAAAAAAAAAAAAAGAAAGAAAAAGAGAAAAAGTTTCACTTCCTTATAGTAACTGATGTTTATCGAACTGCCTCATTTCCTTCCTTTTCTTGAAATCAGTGTCACCATTTTAAAATATTTTCTTAAATACACAAACGTCTTGATGGTGCTCAAAATTCCCATAAGATGCATTATCTATAAAGTACTTACGACACACCGTAAGTGGTTGTTTTCTAGCCTTGCACATATACCCTTGTTACCTAAAGTACTACATATTCTCTAGAGAAGATAAAGTTCAATGGGGTTTATTATAGATCTCTTCTTACCAAAAACTAGTTACAAGAGAAATGTAAGTACAATCTTAGAATGTCTAAGATTTAAATGGATAGACTGATACTATGAGAAACTACTTTTTAAGAGGAAACAGGTAGAGATGTGGTCAAGTGAATAATATATTTGCAACCTCACAAACAGATAATTCGTTTTTGTTCGAAGGAAAACCTATTTTGCAGCCTTGCAAGAGACAAAATTTGAGCAGACTAGAATTTAAATTCAATTTTTTTTGTTTTTACATGAAATTTAGTTATGCTATCAAATATTGTGATATTCTCTAGACTTTTTATTTTTCTTCTAAATGTATATATCTTTTGAACTTAAGTTATTGTTATCTTCACATATAAAGTAAAATTATTTGCTTTACTTTTTAATACAGATATAAGAAATATCTATATAAAATAGATTTAGGATTTATTAATCCATAAATTAATTATTGGGTTAATTATAATGACTAAAATTATGTTGATAATTGATGTGATCAGAATAACGGTGCATTCTATAGCAGGGAATATTTTCTTTTTAGTTCTTTATTTTTAATTAATTTATCTTTTTAGATAAAAAGGTTTGGAGTCCATGTGCAGGTTTGTCATAGGGGTTTGTTGTACAGATTTTTTTTTTTATCACTCAGGTATTAAGCCTAGTACACAATAATTATTTTGTCTACTTCTCTCCCTCCTCCCACCCTCCACCCTCATGTACCTCCAGTGTCTCTTGTTCCCTTCTCTGTGTTCATGAGCTCTCACCATTTAGCTCCCACTTATAAGTGAGAACATGTGGTATTTGCTTTTTTTTTTTGTTTCTGCATTAGTTGCTAAGGATAATAGCCTCCAGCTCCATCCATGTTCTCACAAAAGACATGATCTTGTTCTATTTTATGGCTGCATAGTATTCCATGGTGTATATGTACCACATTTCCTGTTTCTTTCTTCCTGCCTCAGCCTTTCAAAATGCTGGGATTACAGGTCTGAGCCACTGCACCTAGTCTGTATCACATTTTCTTTATCCAATCTGTCATTAATGGGCATTTAGGTTGATTCCATGCCTTTACTATTATGAATAGTGCTGCAATGAACATCTGAGTGCATATGTCTTTATGGTAGAATGATTTATATTCCTCTGAATATATAACCAGTAATAGGATTGCTGTGTCAAATGATAGTTCTGCTTTTAGCTCTTTGAGGTACTGTCATACTGCTTTCTACAATGCTTGAAATTCAATTTTTTAAGTGGGCAAAAAGTTTAAAGAGATACTCCAACAAAAGATAGGGGTGGCCAGAGAATTTGCCACCCCTATCTTAAAGATATCTTCAACAAAAGACAAGCAAATGAAAAGATGCTTGATACCACTGTTACCCGGAAAATGCAAACTACAGCCACAATGAGATACCGCTACATATCCAATAGAATGGCTAAAAGAATTCTGACCACAAGAAGTTTCAAGAAAGAATGTGGAGCAATTATAATTCTCATACACTTGTGGTGAGGAAGTAAAACTGTACAACCACTTAAGAAAACAGTGTGGCAGTTTTCTGAAAAGTTAAATCTATACTTACCTAAAGAGCAATGCACTCTTTGACATTTATCACAAATAAATGAAAACTTCTTTCCAACCGTACAAAGTTGTTCATACCAGCTTTATTTGAAAATAGCTGAAAAGTAGTAATGTCCCACGTGTCTATGAACACATGAATGAATAAACCACCTGTGGTATATTTACACAATGGAATATTACTCAGTCTTAAAAAGGAATGGACTACTGATGCATAACAATGTTATGGGCTTCAAAATGACTGCTAAGTGAAAGAAGACGGACACACTTCTATATATGGTATACTTCCATTTATATAAAATTCTAGAAAATTAAACTAATCTCCTGTGACATTAAGCCAATAAGTGGTTGCCTGGGGGAAAGGGTGGAGGGAGAGCTGGATAACA